GGGGGGGGGAGGGAGAAAAGAGCCATGAGTATAAGCCCTAGAACCCACCCCCAATTTCTCAGGCACCCAGAGGCAAGTCTGCAAGGCTTTCCTTGGCAATGCCAGTAGGGGGCCTCACCTCAGCAATTCTGTCAGCTTCAGGGAGGCTGTGGTTGGAAAACCAGTTGAAGAAGCTTTGTCTGGTGTCATAGCTCCTGCGATGATAGGCCCGGGGTTCCTGGCCTCGGTGCCAACGTATTGGGGTAGAATGAGAGACCAGCCGGCCTAGAAAAAGAGGAAGAAATGAAGAAGAGAGTAGAAATGATAAGATGGGGGCCACTGATTTATTCTGGGACTGACGCTTACCTGAGCGATTGCGCTGGAACTCCTTGACGATCACCATGTTTGTAAAGTATGGGTTGGTCTGGAAGTACAGCTTCATCTTGTAGCCCATGGAGATATGTCTGAGATCCTGTACCTGCTCAGGGTGGGGGTAATGGTGGTATGTATCCCTTCCGTGGCCCTTCCCACCCCCCCCTCACCTCTAAGGATCCTTGGCTTTCCTCCTTGGTCTGACCTGAAGATTGGTCAAGTAGCGGAAAATGTCTTCATCACGTTGGTTGATCAAGATTGAAATTTTGGGGTGGTTGAGGAACTAATGAGTGGAGCAGTTTAGGTCAAGGATTTACTGTTCAATATGAAAGAGGACAGAGCAAAACGGGTCGGAGCAGGAGGGTTCCTTCTGTGTCTGAGTGACAAATGTGGAGTAAATGAGTGGTTATGCAATGCTCAGCCTCAGTGCTAGGCTGCCACGGTTCAGATTTGCTGCGTGTCTGGATGCTAAGGCTCTCTGGCCACGTTCATGTGATCCGTGCTTCTTGGTGACAGGTGCTTATGTTCACAAAATGCTGTGTCTGGGAGCTGAAAGCCCAGGTCTAAGTGATAATGTATCTGGTTACCAAGAACCTGTATTTACATGTTACATGGACAGGGGCTGATGGTCAGTATGCACATGATAGATAGATGGCTCTGGTGGTTGGTATGCTTACGCCCTGTTACCTCACATTTAGGTATGGAAACTGCTGAGGGCCTGTGATCATGTGACACGTTGCATCATGGGCCAAGTATTTCTATCTAAATAAATTCTATTAAAATGGTGAACCTATGCATTTCATATATATATATATATATATATATATGTTTCCTGGGGATGAGCTCAACAGTCACCAATAGTAGATTGGAATCTTCCTGTTCTACCTTTTCTTTCATTTAACCACTTGACCTCCACATCAAAGTGGTCTTCTGATTCTTCAGGTGTTCTACCCTCTCCCCTCTAAGGGAGGTACTGTGGACAGCTTTGAGGTCTCTAGATATCTAAGCAGAGACTCGTGCGTACAGAGCCTTTTGTGATTTCAGCACTTTTCATGAAGTTCATTTGCCCTCCCTCCCAATGGTCAGTTCATTACCTGTATCCCCCCCCCTTCACTATCTGTGATCCTGTTTACCAGTTATGTGCCTTCTCAGCCACCCCTCCCCCCCTTTACTGTCTGTGATCCATTTTCTTTAATGTTACGGTGCTACCCTTTTCCTATCTGCAGTCCAGTTTTTATTCTATTTTGTCCTCTTGCCATCCCACTCAATCTAGAATCTTCTAATGGAGATTCATTCCCATCTCCGACCCTCCCCCACACCCCTTGTTTCTCTTCTGCACATCTCCCCTTCAATCATGGGCTTCTGGCCCATGAATATCGATGAGAAGGATACTGCTTTGACCCAGAAGCCTGGAATGTGCTGGATGATGAGGTCTCTGCGCTCCAAAAAGGGTCTTCGCATCTGGATGAATTTGCGCTTGAGACGCAGGAAGGCCTTGCCTGCCTTGATGTTCACCGCCTCCAGGTCCATCTGAATGCTCTCCAGGGCCCGCAGTATGCTTTCCATCCTCTGGGCACTCCTCTCTCGGCTCTCCTTCATCATCCTCTGCTTCCTCCTCCTCCTCCTGCGCCATCGCAGCCGCCTCCTCATACTTTCCTTTTCATCCTCATCCTCATCTTCCACTATGATGATAGCCTCTTCCTTCCTCTTTGGACCTACTAACATCTGGGGCCCCCACCCCCCTAAGCTACAGGTTTCTAGGGCCTTCTCTCCAGCAAGGCTGCTGGGCTCTGCAACCTGAAAGTCAATTTCCACGCTTCCCCCCGCGGTTTCTGAGGAGGGGAGTGTTTGCATGATCCCTGTGGGAGGGGGCTCCCCGAATCCTGATTCCACTGCAGGATCCCAGCCGGGACTCTCAGTATCCAGGGTGAAATACGCGCGGATCCCTCCCTCCTCGAGAATGACATAGGGCAGTGGTGGGGGCAGCGTGGGGCCCACCCCCCTCATGTCAGCCAGCACCTGTGCAGCCTCGGTTTCTTCCAGGGGTCTCGGACGCTGCTGGGGTGGAGGCAGCGGCAGTCGCAGGAGCGGCGGGGGTGGCGGGGGCGGCAGGCAGGATTCCGAGATGCTCAGGCGCGGGGTCTTGGCCGGAGGCCCCTCATCCGGGCGGTCCATGGTGACCGCGCTCAAAGCTCAGAGAATCGCACGGGCTCTTCTCTGCTCTCAGACGAGGCCGACGCCACCAGTCGCACTTGCAGCGGAGCCGCCACACCTCACGCGACCAGCTCTGCGCACCACCTCGCTCTGACGTGCCCTCCCACAGCGCCAGTCGCCGAGGCCCCGCCCACTCCTTGACAAGGCGTCTGTTCTGCCCACCCATTGGCTGCTGGCCTCGGAGGAGGAGTTAGCGTTCCCTCAACCCCTGCCTTCTCTCACGCAATCCGCTTGCCAACACTACACGTCATCGTTTTCTAATTGGTTCCTTTCGCTCCCACCAATCATCAGGCTGACTGCCTCAGCGATGTGAGGAAAGCTGCAGGGCGATTGGCTGTGAGGAAAGCTAGGGGAAGAAACCCCTCACCCTCGTTTTGCGGTGTTTTATCCAATGGGAAAAGTACCAGCGATTCGGAAGACCAAAAGACTAGACCGGGGGCGGGTGGCTGGGAGTGCGCAAGCACCAAGGAACGAAATGTGCTCCAATGAAATCAGAGAGCCTCGCTGTGGTTCTCCCCGCCCCGCTCTCCAGATCAACTACGCACTTCTTAAAAATCCGTCCCTTCCCCCAACAGCTCATGGCGCCGGGAAGCGGAGGGGGGGTGTGTGGGGGGGAGTGCTGTAGCCCCTCAGATGCAGGTTGCTTTGATGTACTAGCAATTTAAGTATCTGAGGTCTTTGGTTTGGTGGTCAGGTTTTGACATGGCTTTTTCCATCTCTGCAAAATGGCTCCAGAAATAATCACAGACGCAAAAAAAGTAACTTCTTCTGCGTCATAAAAATTGATTGCGATTCAACTAATCTGCTAGATTTTTCTAGAACTTTAAAACTCTTTGTCTACGCAGTATTTCTCCTCCCAGCCTTTCCTAAGTGAATGATGCTATTAATCATACCCTAAGGTTTTATTTTATTTTATTTATGACCAGAGATAGCTGGTCTCTGAGGAGGCATGAAGGTGGAATTTTGGCTTTGGTTCTATCGACCACTGTGACGCTAGCCAAATCACTGCCCCTCTCTGAGGTTGTTTTCCTTTAAGTTAGGCATTCCTGAGGAGAGGAGATAATTGCCCATTGCAGACTTGCTGTGGTAGCAGAGGGAAGGAACCTAGGAATCCATTACCAGGAGAATGGATAAAATGTGATATATGTTTTAGATGGACTACTAGAATGAATTTGATCTATGTATAGCAACATGGCTGGATCTCTCCAAAACAGAATGCTGAGTGAAAAAAGAAACAGAACAAGATTTATAGTACAATACTGTTTATGTAAATTAAAACATCGATACCATATATTTTCCACAGATACACATAAGTAAATGAACGCATGAACGGTGGTTTGGAAGGACACACATTAAGTCCAGAAGAGTGGTGCCTGTGTGGGGTGGGGAAAGATGGGATCGGGGATGGGTGATGAAGGGAACAAACAAAATAATAAAAGGACCTTGCATGGACCAATGATGATATAGTGCGCCGAGAATTGAGGAATATGGTCAGCTCAATTCTGTGCAACTGAAAGAATAAATAAGTAAATAAATAAACAGTAAATTAATTGAGCGCCTAGGGAGTAGGCCAGCTGGGTAGACCCCCAGACTTGGGCTTTTTCTCCATGCCATCCTTCCTTCTGAATTTAGTCAAAGCTGAACAAAGTCCCAGCTGGATACAGTGGAACCTTAAGAACTCCCAGTTCAGATGGAGCGGTTCCTCTAAAAGCCATTACATTGCAGGGGACCATCTCTTAACCTCATTACCTCCATGTTTGACACCCCCATTCCCATTTCCTATTTCCATGGTGGTCCAATTTCAGAAATACCTTATTTGAATTTTGGGGTGGGGGCTGAATCTCCAGACATTCGGAAGAGATGAGGTTCTAAGCTATTCTCTCCTCACCTGGTGCTCAGAAGCTGGGCCAAGGGAAGACAATCTTATGAGATGGGAGTTGACCGTCTTGACACATACATACATAAAACTTTTCAGGTTCATCTCCTAAGCACTCTATTTCCTGCTGCAGGCACATACTAAGTTTTGTCTCCTCTCCTTCCTGTGTCTCCTCTCTTCCTGTGTCTCTCTGTGTGGATGTGTGTACACGTGTGTGTACTCTATTTCCTCACATATAGGTATTTGCTTATATATGTGTAGCAGGCAAGTTTTCCTCAGGGTTTCCTATTCACACAAAGTCACACAGACACACACTGTCTCACTTAATCATACCTCCCCACACGTGATCATACACAGATAGGACACACAGACACAGACACATACACACACGAGAGAGAGAGAGAGAGAGAGAGAGGGGGGGGGAGGGAGGAGGGGGGGAGGGAGGGAGGGAAAGAGAGGGAGAGAGGGAGAAAGAGAAAACATCCAATATAACATTGTTCATTTCAGTTTTTCCATTTACAAAATCCAATGATGAAGCCAGGCAGTTATAAAAAGGAAATGGAGGAAAAGCCTCCTGAATCTTCCCTATGTGCCCTCCCACCTTGCTCTTTCCACCCCTGCCCTCAGAAAGGCATTCCTGTCATCATCACTGAGAGTACAGCCCCACCCACAACACATTTACAGCCTCTCAGCTACTCTGGCCTGCTTTTCCAGGGCCTCTCCACAGCCAGGGTCACCAATATCTTTTCTGTCTAGAACACCTCCTTCATTGCTTTTGGGTCAAAGCTTCCTCAGTTCACGGGCTATCTTGGGGAAAGGGTTGGAGTTTAGGATAGGAGTTTCTAAGGAAAGAAAGGGGATGAGGAGATCACAGCCCCAAACTTAGGCAGAGTTCCAGCTTGGTTCACCAGTCTACGGAACTGGCCTTGAAGTCAGTAAGCCCAGGGTGGTCTCTGTCTGTGGAAAAGAGGCTTGGGACCTTCCACCTGTGGAATTGGGTATAGTTTGCTCCACTTTGGGTATAGGTAAGGGTGAAGGGAGGAAAAACTACAGGGAAGGATGTTTGTGGCATGGAAGGACAGCTAAGGAAGGGGCTCAAGGCCTGGGAGACCTAGAAGGGACAAAAAGAAGTCAGACAGGATTGGACCCAATTCCCGGGTACCTTGAAGTTTGTACCTTGAAGTGTTACCAAGGCTCCCAAAGAAGTTTTGTTTCCAGAAGAATAGTGTGAGCCCAAGAAACAATTGTGGGGTTGAATTTAGCTCTGACCCCAGGCTCTGGAGTCCAGCCACTCTGGGGAGTTCAACTATCTCCCTCTACTTCCATGGGTGACTTCCCCGCCGGCATGTGGCATGTATTCACATCATCCCCGGTGGGGACAAGCAGATGCATAGTCCTAGGAAGAAAGGGTGGGGTTCCAAGAGAAAGTTCGAGAGAGTGCAGCTAAATTTGGATTTTGGTTGAGGAGCTCATCTATCATTCGACTCTTCATCTAGCCTGGGCACATCATGGAGGCCCTTCTTTGTACGCTCTTCGCTTCTCAAACAGAGCCTCCAGAAACACCAGCAAAGTCTGGACACGATAGGGAGGGATAAGGAGACCAGGCTTGAGATCAAGGTTAAGCCAAAAACAACATCGCACACAATGTAGCAATTTAAACGTCCTTGCTCCCCAGGAGAGCAGCACCCCATTTGGTCCCTCTTGTGTGAAGCCTTAAGTCAGTATTTCCTAAACATCCAAGTCTTGCTAAGGGACTCAGAAGGGGAGGGTGAATGGGAACGGGGGGGGGGGGCAATAAGATCTCTGGAAATCTATTTTACAGGAGAAAACTTCCATTTCTTGACAATGTCAAAGGGGGGGGTGACTTTTAAGCAAGAAAGCTTGCTTCCTCAGCTGTTATTATTAAAAACCCTGCATTTTCAGTTTCTTTTTTTTTCTTTTTCTTTTTCTTTTTTTTTCTTTTTTTTTCTTTTTTACTGAATCGTCACTTTAGAAAGAGGAGAAGGGAGAGGGATAAGGAGGCAGGGAGGCATGGGAAAGAGATTGTAGAAGTGGAGGAGGCTGCGGGACAAGCCCCACAAAACTAGAAATGCCTCTTTCCCAATTCCTCACCCAGTTTCCACCCCTAGGGAGGTGTTTGCAAAATGCCTCAGTTATGGATGGTTTGAGAGCCTGGGCTGAAGCTTAAAAAAGAAGGCTTCTGTGTGGGTCCCACGCTTCCCCTGCTGTTGGCCCCAGTATGGTGATCACAACTTTCCCCTGCCTATCACCTACTGGCTTGCTTCACATGACACAGTAGGGTTCCCTGGGAGCTGGGGCACCCCCTGCACCCCAGCAAGGGGCATGAGTCCTCAGGCACTTCTTGAGGTCCTTGTTAAGCAGGAAGCAGACGATTGGGTTGACGGCAGCCTGGGCGAAGCTCATCCAAACAGCAGTGGCCAGGTAGCGGTGGGGCACAGCGCAGGCTTTCACAAACACTCGCCAGTAGCAGGCCACGATGTATGGCGACCAGAGGAGCAGGAAGAGCAGTGTAATCGCGTAGAACATTCGGCCCAACTGCTTTTCACCCTTGACCTCGTCCATGCCCAGTAGCCGCCGGCTAGCTGCATGCCCATTCTGCCGGATACCCAGCAGAGTTGGTGGCATGGGCCCACGGCCAAAGCCAGCGATCCAGTTGGCAGCAGCCTGGCCGGTAGCCCCAGGGCCATGGAATGTCCAGTTTTGGCTGATGGCTGGCACCATCTGCACTGGCTTCATCTTGCGGTGACGGTACTCGAAGAGGAGCAGCTTGCCATAGACAGCATGTGTGGCTGCCATGAGCACAGCCAACATAAGCATAAAGCCCAGGGTGTCATTTGCTTTGAAGTAGCGATGCTCAAAGATGCACTGGTCTTCCTCTCGGATAAACTTGTAGGTGCCCACATCAAAGACAGGTGGGAAAGCCATGGCCACAGACAAGGTCCAGGCCATGCAGATGACAGCTGCGCATGTCCAGAGTGTCATGCGCTTGGCATAGAAGCGGTGGTGGGCGATGGCCATGTAGCGGGTGACGCTGATGCAGAACAGCATGAAGGCCGCGTGGAAGCAAAAGAGCACAGCCATGAAGGCCACAATCTTACAACTGAGCGCACTGAAGGTCCATGAGGAGCCATGGCGCACAGAAGCCAGTACAAAGGGGAAGCAGATGGCAGAGCGTATGCCATCAGCTAGGCACAGGTCCAGCAGAAAGTAGTAAGGAGCCTTGTGCAAGGCACGCTCCTTGAGCACCAGCAGGGACAAGATGGCATTGCCTGCCAGGCTTACACACATGATCAGTCCCAGCAGCACCAGCTTCACGTAAGCCGATGCTGATGGCAGGGACAGTGCGCCGCTCACCTCCTCAGGCTCTCCGGTGGTGTTGGCCATACTGAGGGGCAAGGGCTACCCCAACCCTAGGGGGTCGGCCAGGCCGGTATTTGATGTGCCCTGGGGGACTCCATCAGTTGTCTTGCTGAGCTACACCTGCAAATGGGGACAGTGGAGGGAGATAGAGACAGAGAGATGGAGGTAGAAGACAGAAAAATGAGGAGACAAGAGAGGTAAACAATGAGGTTAAAAAAATGGAAGCAAGAATATAAACGGATAGAAAACAACCCAGAAATGGAAAGAATGGAGTGGGGGGGTTGGAGAAACAGGTGAAAAAGAGACAGAGAGGCCAGGTTAGTGTGTCTATGAGCCCTTCCTGCGAACTCCCCAGATATTCCTGCTCCTACCCCTCCTTGCTGGGCATAAGTGCTTTGTCTCCTAATGTCCTCAGGCACCTCTTTCTTTCTCCACTGGTGGGTCTGCAGAGGCTGTGGATATTTGCCAACTCTCCTTTCCTTTTACAAGCCATAAAACTGTATTCAAGCATTGATTTTTTTTACTGCTACCCATAAACCAGTACACATAGGTGCGCGCGCGCGCACACACACACCCCCCTCAACTAAAAGTTGTACACAGTACTAATCCTAATTGTAATATACTTATTCATTTCTGTTGTCTTTCATGTTTTATTTTGTTAAACTATTGACAGCCAGCCACTCATTAGATTTCTTCCCACCGTTTGCTCTCTCCCACCCCCACCACCTCGTACTGTGTTTCGTCTTCTCTCTGGCTTTTCTTCTCACTGTACTGGGTGGGGATTGAATTTATAGCCTCAGGCCTGGTAGACAAGAGGTCTGCCAATGACCTATATCCCTACACCCTTTGAAAAAGTTACTATTTAAACTTTTAATTTTGTAATAGGGTCTTGTGACGTTGACCAGGCTGGCTATGAACATTTTCCCCAGCCCAGGCAGGCCTTGAACTTGGGATCATCCTGCCTCAGACTCCCATGTGCTAGGATTACAGCTCTATGCCATGATGCCCAGCAAAATATCTTTATTTGTGGTCAGGAATGTGCGTAGCATGTCTACCAGTGTGAGAAGTGAGAATGAGTGAGAAAGAGTAAATGGTGTGTTTTGGAGACACAATAGTGGGAGGTGAGGTCACAGAAGATCAAATGTAGGGCTATGGATTATGAGAAAGCCTCTGGCTTTTGTTTTGTGTGAATGTAGGATTGTATATTACTACACAAATGTAAGTATGCTTTTTGTGTTGGCTCATTGAAAAAAATATTTCTTTACCTTGGGTCATTCACGGTTTTAGGCACCGAGGATGCAGTTGTGAATCAGACAGATAAAATTCCTGCTCTAGTACTTGGGAGGCAGAGGCAGGTAGATCTCTGTGAGTTCGAGGTTAGCCTGGTCTACAGAGCTAGTTCCAGGGCAGCCAGGGCTACACAGAGAAACCCTGTCTCAGAAAACAAATAAACAACAAAGAAAGAAAGAAAGATAGATAGATAAAGATTCCTAGTTTTGTGTAATTGACAAATTAGGTAATAAGATGAGATGGGTGAAGTTAGTATAGCAGATGATGACAATAATCTAAAATCTAATCATGAAGTAGGGGAGGAGGATTTAAAGTGTCAGAGGTGAGGGGCGTATTGGCAGTTTTTGATGAGCGGGATGGGGAGGGCTTCATGGAGGAGTCATCTAAGCAAACAGGCGAGGATGTAAGCCCTGTGACTGTTTCGGAGTGGAGAACTCTAGGCAGAAAGAACAGTCAGAACAAAGGCTCTCAGATGGAGCTACTTGCACACTGAGAAGGAGCACGGGAGCCATGGTGAGGGGATACTGAGCACAGGGCAAGCATTGGGAAGTGAACTTAGAGCATCAGCTAGGACATATAGAGGCCATAGTGAGGTCTATGATTTAGAATTGCTTGGGAGGGTTTTGAACCGAGGTAAGATGTAATTCACGTTCAGGGGTGAATGTGATTCTACTTGTTGCTGTGAGAACAGGGCATGCTCCAGGAAGGTGGGAAAAGAGTAGCGTGATTGGGCTGGAGCGATGGCTCAGAGGTTAAGAGCACTGGCTGCTTTTCCAGAGGTCTTGGGTTCAATTCCCAGCAACCACATAGCGGCTCACAACCATCTGTACTGAGATCTGGCGCCCTCTTCTGCTGTGCAGGCATACATGCAGGCAGAACACCGTATACATAAATAATAAAATTGAAAAAAAAAAAGAGTAGGGTGATTAGTGAGAGTTCAGTAGTAATCCAAGTAAGTGGTCATAGCATCCCCAAGCCCCTTTCTGTTTTCGCTGGAATCTCTCTCTTTTATCTCTATCATTTACTCTTGAAATTTAGATTATGACCTGTCTCATCCTAGCAGAACAGAAGCCCTATAAGGGCAGGGTAGGCTCCCTCTCCTCTAAAAGATGAGTAGTGCTCACACAGTAGGTTCCTGGGGAAAAGATGCCAAGAGCTCCGTGGAAGTTTTCACACTGGATTTGCTGAAAGCACAGCCTGGGGAGTTGGAGAGTGCCTGTGTGTGCATTGTCATGTGGGGTCATGACAAAATGACAGCATTTCCCAGAGGGAGGGCAGCTGGGCTGGCTCATATGAAGCGGAAGCAGGGGGGCTGGAGAGATGGCCCAGAGGTTAAGAGCACTGGCTGCTAGTCCGGAGGTCCTGAGTTCAATTCCCAGCAACCACATGGTGACTCACGACCATCTGTAATGAGATCTGGTACCCCCTTCTGGCGTGCAGGCATACATGGAGGCAGAATGTTGTATAAATAATAAATAAATAAATCTTAAAAAAAGGGAATTTAAAAAGCCTCCATTAAAAAAAAAAGAAGCGGAAGCAGGAGAGGTTCAGGATTACCAACTCCTTCCTAGTGAAGTTGTCCCGTTTGTGTTGTTTTCTAGGTCAAAACAGTCTGTTCTTTCACCTAAAAGCAGTCATTTTTTGACAGCACTAAGAAGTCTCATAGCCAATGGCCTACTGAAATGAGAGGGAGCTAGGGCAGGGGTTGGAGAGAAATGCAGAGCATCTGGTCTCCTTCAGTTCCTCAAGGTCTGATGTCTTCTACCCTTCCCAGAACGCAAACAGCCCTCCGCCCTGTATGTTCAAAGGCACACACACACACACACACACACACACACACACGCGCGCGCGCACACACACACCTTTGCCTTAGGGGGAGTCAGAGGGTAAAGATTAGGCACAGAGATGGAGAAAGTGTAAGAGTCAGATACACAGGGGATGACAGAGAAGATGGTGACACAGAAGGAAAGACAGAGACCCAGAAACAAGGACAGGGAAAGAGATAGAAATGGAGAAAGAGAGGGGAGAAAGAGTGACGTAAAGAGGCATATAGAGGGGCTGGAGAGAGGGCTCAGTAATTAAGAGTCCTGGCTGCTCTTCCAGAGGAGCCCCGTTCAATTCCCAGCACCCCCATGGCAGCTCACAACTACCTGCAATGCCAGTTTCACGGGATCTGATACCCCCCACAGACAAAACATGAATGCACAGGAAATAAAAATAAGTCAATTATTTTTAAAAGAGACATATAGCTAACATAGAGAAACAGTGAATGATCAAGGAGGAGACAGAACAGGCAGTTAAGGATAGCCAAAGTGGGGGGAGGACACATCTAGAACACAGCTCGTTAAACTATGGGGTTTAACTCCCCATGGGCCTGCATAGCTGAATGTGAGGGTTTCGAGGAAGTTTACAAAATTTCTGGGTGTGTAATGACCCAAAATTAATTTAAAATCAAGGTATGACGACTCGCACATGTTTCTGGCAGCAGTTGCTCAGGTTGCATCATACGCACAATATTACCGAAGCTGTGGTTCCGAGCAATGACATGCGCACTTTGCACTGCCCATGCCACCATACAACCCAATGCCAACAAATGCTCTCTGAAATACCCTAGCTCAGACTCGAGACGGCCACATGCTGTGAAATGCAAGGTTTCTGTTGTACATATATTTTTTCTTTTGTAAAACATAATGGTTTAAGTACAGAAAATAAAAACTTTAGTACTTCCCTCCTGTCATGTAAGCATCAAATTAGCATGCCATTATATTGCACTGTATTAGAATGTTTGCTTTAAAAATGTTGCCATTTCAGGTGGTTCTCTGTGGGTTCGAGGCTAGCCTGGCTCATGTAGAAAGTTCCAGGGCAGCTAGAGTTACATAGATCCTGTCTCACCCTCCCCCCAAATTAAAAAAAAATTAAAAATGAAAAAAATTGCCTTGAGTTGCTGACTTGAGTGTCCTAAAAAAATCATTAGATGAATTTTGGCTTGGAAACAGGACAGAATTTCCAACAATTTTTGAAATGTCTCTAGCCATACTTTCACCATTTTGTATTGCATGTTACATGAAGCGGGGTTCTCAGTATTGACAGTTATAAAATCAAAATACCATTCAGCTCTTAAAAACATTGAAGATGCCTTATATGTTGCAGTATCAAACATTCAGAAAAGATTTATTTTTGTGTGTGTGTAAAAAAAGCACATCTATCTCAGTATGCAAATTTACCTTTGTCTTTAACGAACAGTAAAATTGTATGTATGCCTTAGAATTGTTTCAGATAAATTTGTTAATTAATAGTAAATGTTTGACTTGTATACTTATTTTATATAACTATATACCGGGGTTGTATAAAAAATTTCTTAGGTGGAAAGGGGTCATAAGTAGAAAAAAATTTAAGGAACCCAGGCTGATGTAGAAGACTAGGGAGAGACAAGAGGGCCGGGAGAAACAGGTAGCCACAGAGACAAAGCATGCATGGCGTGCATAGGGAGGGAAGATATGTACTAAGATATGTACTGGAGTGTAGCTTAGGGGCTCAGCAAAAGCAAATGTTAAAACCAACTCCCTTAAAACAAACAAACAAACACCCAATACAGTAACAAGCAAAGCCCCGGTGTTGCTGAGAAAGCTTGAAGAGATTGCATAAATGAGGTCAGGTGCTCCTAAGCACAGCCTAGCAGCCATAACTGAGGCCCAGTGGAGGCAAAAGGTAAGCGTGTGTGCACAGAGCACACATGCCTGGGCCTGGACACCCTTGTGCACAGACCTACATACTCACAGGCATTTGAAACACACACACACACACACACACACACACACACACACACACAC